TGCCTCCTGCCACGCGTTCTGGGACTGTGCCTCCTGCCACGCGTTCTGGGACTGTGACCGTATCATGCGGGGGACTCTCTCCGTCGCGGTCTCTGTGATCGACGGCGGGGGGCGACATGCCGGCGTTGTCGCCGCGACGCTGACGGGTGTGCGCGAGTGCGGCGTCCCTCGACAGCAGGTTGGCTGTCATCGCTGCGACGTGTGCGCGCTCGGTGGCGGCGATGATCACGAGCTAGCACCTGCATGCGCTCGCGTGTAATTCACGCGCTCGGCGAGTCGTCTCGACTCTGAAACAGGAAGCATAGTGGGATAAGAATCGAGGAAACGGGAAATGCATGTGGCCTCGTTACTGAGAATACTACCAAGTCTATATCGACAGAACTTTCCTCTTGCTGTACTCGGTACCTGGTGCATGCATGTATGCACTATCACACATTTATAAACGAATCGGATGACCGGAACGTATGACGATTACAAGACAAGATCTATGTTACATTTCTGCCCAGCACAGAACAAGTTGGTGACAAGCCAATGGCTGAGCGACCAAAAATGTACATTATCGGCAAAATTTGTATGTAACAACGTTAACTGATGATTAGTTTAAACAATTATGTAAAAAGAATGCACTTTTAAAGAGTAAGTTTAGCAGTTCTTTATTGGTAATGCAGTTGAATTCTGGCAGATCAGAGGTAAACTCACGTCAACATGTGTGATACAGCCAAGGGAATGAATAAGAGTAGTGAATTCATTCAAGGTCTGTCATATGGCCATGGATAAACGAAATGTTGGCTCTTGTGATGATAAGAATCGATGAACCATGCGGCCAGATTTTCTGAGCGATTGCACATTCTCAAGTAACTCTCACAGATCCACAATGTCCAACTTATCTCCCTAGTATGTGGATCAGTATTATTGTTTGATATTCCATCATAATGTGGCGATATGTGATGACAAAGTGATTACCTATAAGAAGGCTTGCACCCTTTCAGCTCTACTAATTCTGTTCGCAAATGCTCTTAAATACACTGTTTAGTGCAGGTACAAGACACAAAGGTGTACTGTATAGGAAACAGCAGCCCATACCCACTCTGGGCATTGTAAATTTTGAGCAGAACTGCTATTCATTATATAGTTTACATTATTAAATAGTATAAATAATTTTTTTGGAAATTTAGGACTGGCTGCATTTTTAGACTTCTTTCAAAGATTGTGTGTACGAGTGATAGCAAATTATTGAATGTCGTTGATGTTCAGACTGTAAAGTCACTGAATATAACACATGTATATATATCTAGTGTCAACCTTACAACATCCCATCATAGCAGGAGAGGTAGAGGAACTACTAGCTTACTATTTTTTATACTAACGGCATGTGTTGTAACTTGTAACACATCTTACACTGCTGTATAGCAACACCAAAACTAGAGTTGGGTACCGTAAAATTTTACCAAAGTACCACGGTATTACAGTGGTATACCGCGATTTCAAGAACAGGTCAGAGGAATATAACTCATGCACACAGTGTATACGCGCGTGTGTATGATGCGTACATGGGCCGCACACAGTGTAAGCGCGCGTGTGTATGATGCGTACACGGGACGCACACAGTGTACGCGCGTGTGTGTATGATGCGTACATGAGGCACACACAGTGTACGCGCGCGTGTGTAAGATGCGTACACGGGTCGCACACACTGTATGCACGCGTGTGTATGATGCGTGCATGGGACGCACACAGTGTACGATTTGAAAGTCCTGAACATTGCTCCATTGGCGCCACCATTTTAAAATCACATGCCCGATTCCTGCGCTTTCATTGGTCGGTAAATATTTGTGGCTGAGCTAGATAGCTCAGGGAGCCCACACACGGTGAGTTTCTGGCCTCGCGAGGCCAGAAATATCAAACACGCTAGATATCCGTCTCACAGCCTCGCGAGGCCAAAAATCATGCAGAATTTAGTTACCAGCACACGGTGAGCTATCTGCTGAGCCAACGGCTTCGTGCGTCAGCTCAGCAGATAGTTCACCATGTGCGGCGGGCTTTAGTGAAACGCGCTACTGCGCTACAGGCTCGTGATCGATCGCGCCCCGTTCTCCCATCAAAGGCACCGCTGCCGCGCTCAGAGAAAAACGCCTGGCAGTCGCTGCGTCGCGTTATTCTTGTAATCTGCTATATCTTGCAATTCCTTTGGAATAAACATGAGCGAGAGTAGGAGTGTCGTACGGCTAGAACCAGTCTGAAGTAATGAAGTATGTACAAATAAAACAGCGCAGACTATCTACTAGGCATATAGAATAGGTGCAGGAGATACGCGAATATAGCGTGAATGGTGTCGATCGACGGAGATGAATTTATAAAGCTATGCAATGACAAGGAAGTGAAATAAAATTGATGGGATAAAATAGCTAAAAAAGCCGGTACACCACTACACCACACAAAGTACCGCGGTACGTATCGCGGTATATACCGGTAATACTGCACACCTCTAACCAACACATTTCCTTATCATGCGGAAACATCCACGAGCTACAAGTTGTTCAAAGAAACAAGACCTGTGACTATAATTACAGGGTTCGAAAGTAACATATCACCATTTTTTAGGGATAAACAAATCTGCTGGTAGAAAAGAGGAAGTAATTACAAACTTTTCTGGTGGAAAAAAACAACATTAACAAGTTTTTAAATATGTAAATAAGTAATGTAATGATGCATTATTTGGATGAAGTGACTAGGTGCTAGCACAAGTTTCTGATGTAAGAGCTTGACTTTACAGGTTTTCTTCTGAGGGAAAATTAGACAACGGCAGTAATGGCCAGTTTGGGGAAAAAACGCACATGATGGATTCAAAGGCGTGCAGTAGGCACGAATGTGGATTCTGCAGGAAGACGTGGGGGGAGAGAGGTAGAGGGGGTTCTGGGGGTCTCTCCCAGCAAAATGTTAAAAATTTGAATGTCTTAGACTGCATTTGAGGCACCCCAAAAATAAAATTTCACCTTTTAGTTTAAATCTTATTTTTTTAGCAGACCTACCAAGTCTCACGCTGCGCATTTCGCGAGAGACTCACGCATCTGGAACCATTCTCCTGCACTTCCGCATGCCCTACGCATTCACGCAAAAGGAAAAAAGAAAGAAAAAAGTAGCCCGCGACACCCCAGTTACCCACGCCCGTGGCTGTGCACATCGTGGCTCGTGCTTGCTGGCTGGGGCAGCATTGATTAAAGTATGGGGGGGGAGGCGAATACACTGATTGTTACGGTCGCGTGGGCATGCTTATATTTATATATTAATGCCTGTTGTTGGGGGCACTATGCTCTCATACGCTCAACACCCGAGCGGTAGCGAGGGCACTATTCCTTCCCAAAGCTTCACTATGACAGCATAGTGCCCCCAACAACAGGCATTAATGTTTTTAGTGCATCACATGACTTTGCAATCTACTCGGCAAATATGAAGTGAATAAGACAAAGTTTCTTAAACGAACAATTTCAATTTGTATTAAAACACAATGCGTTATAATAATAATGCGTCGCGCAAAAAATAGTGCCAGCTCAGGCGGGCACTATTGTTTCATAGTACCTGCGACGTTATCCAATAGAATTTCAACAATTTATCATGTGATGCACTAATGCTGTATATGTAGAGGTGGGCACTGCTGGTATGAGGGAGCGACAGCAAAACTTTCCCGGAATCGAGGAAAAAGCTACAATCGGGAATGACACGGGAGTGTGGCGGCATGCAAAAAGAAATGTTGCTGTGAATTTCATTACGATTTTCCATGTATATAGTCAGAAACACGTGGTGATCTATTTATTTTTGGATTGACACTATTTTGACAACGGCGGGTAAATACAGGAACATTTTCACAACGGCGTTGTTAAATTTGACAATGGCAGTGCGCCGCAGTGCCTCCTATGTAGAAGAAACCCTGCTTTATGATCCAAATGATATAATATTATCCTCCGATTCGTAAATCAGAATACTTCCCATGTTTCACTGAAGTTGATGAACGAAAACAAACATTAAACAGCAGGCCCTACTAATTGAGATGAGTGACCACAGCTGTGTGCCACCGCTCGCCCAAAATAGACCCACGTGAACAATTAACCAGTTGCCTGTAACGTTTCCCACCTAACACTAACCGTAACAGTAACAGGATAGGAATGTCGAGGGGTAGGTATTCAAGTTAAGACATGGACACACTGTCACACAGTGACTGTCAGTAGTGCACAAAGAGCCGTTGTCGTATCAATAATCAGGTACTACATATATGTAACCGAGGTAGTTTGAGGTTGTTTAGTATTGTTTATATTTTGGCCGTGGCTACGCGACCGGTTCCGGACAAGGAGCCGCTAAGCTACGCGTCCGGACATCCATCACACACAGTGAGCTTGCGACACGTACACGCATGTGCCTGGAGGCTAGGCGACCGGTTCCGGACGGGTAGCCACTGCGTTATATTTTTATATGAGGTAGGTATGTTTAGGGTTAGGGTTAGGGTACACTTCTGTAGTACAAGTCTGGTACACTTTGTGTATACATATACCTCGGGTACATATATCATATGTAGTACTAGTACTAGCTCTAGTACTATAGCCCGCGTACAGTTGCCGCTGGCCGCCAGCCACAAGTAGTTAGTACTAGAGCTAATGTAGTACCTGAGTGATAGTGATACGACAACGACCCCTTCAGCGTCAGTAGTGTCAGTACGGAATACCTCTAGGGGCAGCGCGTCTCCCAAGTCCAAAATAGTACTATTTAGTAGGCCTCCGGGGAGAGATAGTGATCAGCTAGATGGCGCATTATTAGTATAAATAAGTTGTGGATATAGAAATCAGTTAACCTTAACCCTATCCCTAATTCTAAAAAAAATAAAAATAAATAATTCGGCGCCTTTCGGACTTGGGAGACGCGCTGCCCCTAGTCGCAGCTGTCGGTTCAAGGATAGACCCATGTTCTCTATCCTTGGGCCCAGCTGTCAGTACGTACCCACTACGGTTCAAGGATAGAGAACATGGGTCCCAATAAAACCAATGTCATTTACATCTACTACTACTACTACTACTACTACTACTACTACTAATACTACTACTACTACTACTACTACTACTACTACTAGTACTACTACTAGTATTACTAACTACTATGCTATCGTCGTCGTTAAACAACAACAACAACACGATAAAATGCTTTTTAACAGAGGCATTGATTGTTATCAACAGGAAGGATGCTAATAAGACCGGTCGATGACTTACTTACAATGAAGTATTAGCTGCGTTAGAAGCTACACAGTTTGAGTTTGTTCCTACATCGGCCATTTTGTAATTCGGTAGTGCTGCCACCATGCGAGTGGTAATTGAAATGGAAATGATAGATTGTCATCGTGCATTTTATTAATATTCTATCACGTACGATATCATGTATTTATTAATAATCTCTGACTACATAAAATGCGTATTACTCTAATCACAATTCTATCACATACGCATGCATGATAAATACACGCACAGTGAGGTCAGTGAGTCCGGATCGAGTCACATGCGGTACGGCCTTGTTAAAACGTTGCGTAATTCGTAGGAGCTAATTCGTCCGGGGAGTAGGTTTGCTTCTGCATTACAACAAGGGAATATGGGTCTTATGCAGCGTTGGCCAATTAACTTTAAGAAATAATTGTGTTACTGCGTATGAGTCCTACACGCAGCCCACTGCCCACCTACACACGCACACGCGCACGTGCGAACACACGCACGCGCAAACACTACACACACGCGCACACACGCACGTGCAAACACACACACACACACACACACACACACACACACACACACACACACACACACACACACACACACACACACACACACACACACACACACACACCACCCACCTACACCACGTATATATATATAATAATATATAAGTATATATATATATATATAATATATATAGCGACTTATGACCTAAGTTATGACTTATGACTTATGACCTATGACTTATGACTTATGACTTATGACTTATGACATATGACTTATGACCGTTCAACTTATGACCTAAATACACAACATAGGTATCAATACAATGGGATAGCTGCAGGGTTTGTTCGCTGCGTATATGATATTTCCGCATGTTTGAAACGCATCTCTCACTAGCGAGAGCGACGGGAGACAGTCCGATTATTGTATAGCAGGCTTCGTTCGCAGCTTCGCAGATTGCCTTACTGTAAAATCTCAAAGTAATGTGAAACGCGTGAGTTCACACATGCCCGGTATCTGCAAAATGGATAATGATTGATTTATAATTATGACAAAGTATGCACAAGATCGCACGCAGACATACTCGCGTACGCACAAACGCGCGCGCGTGCGTAACGTAGTGTGTGTGTGTATGTGTGTGTGTGTCACAGTGTGTGTGTGTGTGCGCGCGCGCGTGCGTGTGTGTGTGCGTGCGTGCGTGCGCGCGCGTATGTGTGTGTACATATAATTATACGTACGTACGTGCGTAGGCGTGTGCATACTGAACGCACGCCTGCGTGAATTTTCACAAGGGAGCTGGGGACGTGCAAGCTAACTCCGGGGCATGCATACGTAGATGCACGTCTACGTGCGAGCCTATCCCTAGAAGGCATAGGGAGACGCACGCCCACGTGCGAGCCTATCCCTAGTGAAGGCATACATAGGGAGATACACGCCCACGTGCGAGCCTATCCCCAGTGAAGGCATACACAGGGAGATACACGCCCACGTGCGAGCCTATCCCCAGTGAAGGCATACACAGGGAGATGCACGCCCACGTGCGAGCCTATCCCCAGTGAAGACATACACAGGGAGATACACGCCCACGTGCGAGCCTATCCCCAGTGAAGACACAGGGAGATGCACGCCCACGTGCGAGCCTATCCCTAGAAGGCATACACAGGGAGATACACGCCCACGTGCGAGCCTATCCCCAGTGAAGACACAGGGAGATGCACGCCCACGTGCGAGCCTATCCCTAGAAGGCATAGGGAGATGCACGCCCACGGGCGAGGAATAAACTGCGGGGATAAATATAGGTAAATCGAGTATAAATCCTGCCACAGGCTGGTGTGCGTGTGACACCTCGTTAAGCTTTATGTGAGCATGCAGCGGTGGTTATGTTAGGATTGGCACGAGACCTTGAAGCGATGATGCAAGAATTGTGATGCAAAAATTAGGCTGAAAGATATCGTGTTCTGTATCACGAAGCATATCCAATTACTATTCACAATCGCAATGACTTGACATGCAAGTAGGTCAGGCTTAATAAGCGTGTTACATCCTGTGCATGGGTTAATAAATATCAGAACTCGGCTGGTGCACGTAATATAAATACACGTATAAGACGCGTTTGATTCACTCGATACGTCGTGCTGTGCAATGTATGGGTGCATCTGTGAAGCCATGACAGAGAACTAAATATCACTATACTGAAGAAATGTGATCATCTCTAAAAAAAACACATAGATAATTGGTGATAGGAAAAATG